TCGTAGTAGTAGTAGTAGTAGTAGTAGTAGTAGTAGTAGTAGTAGTAGTAGTAGTAGTAGTAGTAGTAGTAGTAGTAGTAGTAGTAGTAGTGGTAGTGGTAGTAGTAGTAGTAGAAGTAGAAGTAGAAGTAGAAGTAGAAGTAGAAGCAGAAGAAGAAGTAGAAGTAGAAGTAGAAGTAGAAGTAGTTTTGTTTGCACCTACGGTAGCTGGTGCCTGCTACCTCCGAGTACCACCATACCACCACACTACGACTAGGAAGATTGGGAAGACTGCAGCGACATGTTTGTTATGCTAAGGCAGGCAGACGCGTTTTGTAGCAGTTGAACTTGACGAGCTTTCGGATGAATGTGAATGACGATGCTGCCAAGCATCTAGATGCATTCCCCGGGTTGGGGCGTGTTGGAGTGGCAGGTCCGATTAGGTTGTAACGCCGTACACAGTCCCCAGACAGATGTCGATACGATCGAATTAATTAATTAGCTAATTAATTCATTACATCATCTACATGAAGCGGCAGTCAGCGACATCCGGACATCTGGGACCTTTCACACGAGCACTCACTCACACAAGCAGTCAGCCGGCGGCTTCGGAGCGGACTTCAGCGTGCCTCAGGCCGAAAGCTCGCAGAGCCTGCCAGCGCCTTCCACTGAGCCTCCAGCACGGTTGCCCAGCGATGAGGATGGCTGGGCTTTGGTTGTGGATTTAGTTCAGAGTTGGCAGGGTGTGTTGCATTTTTTTTTCTTGGGGGGGGGGGGGGGGGGGGGGGGGGGGGGGGGGGGGGGGGGGGGGGGGGGGGGTGATTGCATTTTCAAGCCGGTTCTCAATTTCTTTCCGTGGCACGGAAGAGCATGTTGATGTCTCAGGTCGGGGACTTGCCAACAGAAGCGATGACAGCAGCGATAGCAGGATGACCCGGCAACTATGGGCGTGAGTGCCTTCAACCTCGTCAGGTAGCCGTAGAGATCTGGAGTGGGATCTTACGAAGAGGTGCAGTTAGAGAAGGTGCTTTGAGGAACAAGTGATGTAGCAGACGCTTGAACTTTAAGAGTCTTTAGTATGCTTTGAGAGCGTCAAATGATGAGGGTGCAGTTTCAATGATGGCGATACCCTCGAGTCATCCACGTGTCCACACGCATCTTCCATTTTTGGGCGCGTTTGAAGAACAAAAGCCAGTGGAAGCAGTCCAGGGTATAAGGCTCATTATAAGTCCGTCGGGTTTTCCATCTCCAACCAACCGCAAGACCGGACTCGCCAAATCGCAAATCCTGAGTCCAAACCTGTTTAGCGGGCTTATAACAAAAAGGCTCTATATTGCCTTCTCTATGTGAAGGAATCGCTTCACAGAGCTTGTCACTTAGGGCATCCCGAGCACCCAAGAGCTGCAACTTCAACTCCACCAAAGAATCCCAGGCTTCAGGATATGAAGCCCGGCCCCTGCAACAGCCCGGAAGCAAAAGGGTATAAACAAACAAGAGGCGTTCATTTGCATTAGCCTTTCCCCTAGGAAGAGGTCATTTCGCGGCACGAGCCCCCTGGGCCTTCCCCACCCACTTTACTCCGTAACTCCAGGTTTCGCCGCTAGCTCGCTCAGAGGCTAGCTTTCGTGATCATGTAATTCCATCGTCTCGACATCTGTCTAGGAAGGGCCGGCCTGTGAGGCGCATGACCTTTCGCACTAGCACTCAGCCTGCGGCGTCTGAGCGGACTCACAGCAGTTCTGTCTTAGGCCGAAAGCTCGCAGAGCCTGCCAGCGCCATCCACTGAGCCTCCAGCACGGTGGCCCAACGATGAGGACAGCTGGGGTTTGGTTGTGGATTTCAAGTCGCAGTGCCATCTGCTCAATTATTGGTCGTTGGCGTGTGTGTTTCATGGTGTTTTTGGCGATTGCATTTTCAAGCCCGTGCTAAAAGGCCGATTCAATGATTTATCGGTAACCTCTTGACGATTCAAGAGCGTCTGCACAATCTTCTGCAAGATGTCATACGTGCCGTACGGCCGGCCCTTCCTAGACAGATGTCGATACAGCTCCCCTTTGGGCGAGCGAGCAAATCCACAGTCGGCGACATCCGGACATCTGGGACCTTCGCACGAGCACTCTTTCAACTTTCACCCGAGCACTCAGCGGACTTCAGCGCTTGTGCTTCAGGCCGGAAGCTCGCGGAGCCCAGCTGAGCCTCCAGCGCGGTGGCCCAACTATGTAGACGAAGGCATGCCTTGAGCATCCGTGAGCACTCTGCTGTGTTGTTGGTATCCGTCGACCTCTCCTTTTGGGCTTAAGGCTTATAGCATGGCGGAGGCTGCGTGGCAGCTGCATCTCCGCCTCCAGAACTGTTCGCAGTGTTCACTGCTTGGATCTATTGGCAGTATTTCAGTATCTCCCAAGTATTCAGCCTGGCCTTTTTCTGGCCCCCTCTCCCTTCACTCTTCACTCTGGTCTGTGCTCTGATCACTTTGTGAGCTGCATTTTGCGTTTTCCGTTGCAATTCCCACCCTGCGCAATTCCCACCCTGCGTTCGCGTAATATGTGTCCCAGGTAGGTCGGGAGCTTGGGAGATGCAGGGGTGACTTTCAGATGTCAGCGGCATGTAGGCTGAACATAATTGTTGGACATGCTCATGTGCATCCGGCCTGTTGCACTTGCTTTGAACCTGTAGGGGCACGTGCCACAGCTAGCCATTCAATCTTCACGTGCCCCAGGTCGCAAGCTCGCAGGACCTCCCCAGTCCGTCAACAGGTCTGCCAGCAGGCTCGCCTGGCATCACTAAGCATGTAACTACGCTTCAGCTGGAAACGGAGCAACGGGATGGCAGAAGCCTTGGATCAAGCCATTGCGCACTCGCTTTGCAGCCTTAAATTGGCATGTTGCGCACTCGCTTTGCAGCCTCAAATTAGCGTGTCCGAGAATTTGTGTTGAGGTCCATGAGCGGCGTCGAACCGGGCAGACATCCCCTTCTTGTTGAAGTGTTGTGTTCGGGCCCTCCGCGTAGAGAGATCATCGAATCGTTCCTAGTGTCATGCGCAGCCTCCCCCCCACCTCCTCAAGCCACAGGGCCCACAAGCGCATCCCAGCCGGCATCACCAGTGCAGCCGGCCTGGCAACCCAGCCTTAGAACCTCCTTTAGGATGTGGAGCGGCCAAGATCAACATGTGGCTTCAAGTTGGGATGTAGAGCCCGAGGGTAAAGGGGATGAGGATAAATGAGTTAGTCTGGTGATGTATATATATATATGTACATGTATACACCTTGCCCCGCCCTCCCCCCCCCCGTCCCTCCCCGCCCGTCCCTCCCCGCCCCCGTCCCGCCCCCCCCCCCGTTGGAGGGTTCGACGTTATAGCATTTCAAAAAAAGCAGCAGTTGTGCGTCCAAGGAGGATCCGATGCCAAACAATAAGGGCCCGGCCCTGGCAGGAGGCTCAGCTTTGCATGATCTGACTTTTGCGACACCCAAACTCTACATGGCCGCAGGATGCCATTCTGCAGGTGTACGCGGTTTTTTCGGCCATTCCCCAAAGGATAACGGAATCCTGAACCTGAACCCCGCCGACTGGGAGAAGGTCCACACAGCTCAGCCACATCCCCCAAGTTTTCCAGATTGTGAATGTTTGGGACCCACAGAACTCTGCATTGGTCCTACATGTGTTCGGATTGTGTTCCCCCTGCCACCTTGGCCCGAATGCTGCCAAGCTCACGCTAGGAACTGCTGGGATGCTCGCACCCCAATGACAAGAACGGAGGTCCAAGTCAATCCCCACATCGGGGTGGGTGGGGGGGGGTGGGGGGTGGGATGCCCCCACCAGCGCAACATCCTCTAAGGCGAAAGGAGTTGAGAATTCACAGTGTTTTCGGATTTTATTCTTCAAGCCGATCTCTCTCGACCCCCACACTACCTTGCCTGTAGCGGGTGAGAGTGGTATAGCATTATAGCAGTAGAGCCTTTACATCTTGTCTGCATGCGTCTGAATGTCAGAGACCAAACCGTCGTGAACGTGCTTGGGTATGCGCTCCTTTTAAACTGCGCGAGAGAGTGAGCAGAGGCCCTTTGAGTTTGCAACTGAAGCAGCCGTTGTCATGGAAAAGCTAGAACCCCACAGCCTTGCACTCCTTTTTGCGCATCCCAACCCTGTACCGGCCCACTGCTTCACAGACAAGCGCATTTCATGTCTTAAACATGTAGCGTAGTCTTTGATTCCTCCGTTGGGTCTGTGCAAAAGACCGACCTGACAGTTGGGCTCAGGCACCTTTCCGGAATCCAGCCACGTCCCGACCCTAGAATTGAAGCAACGTGGTTGCGAGGTTCGGGAAGTCTGATGTAGGGCGTTCACCACATAAGTGGTAGAACTTTAGTCAGAGGGCATTGTGGGAAACGTTGCTGTAGCTCATTTTGTCGAATGGGCTGGTGATGTCGCTTTGCCGTTTTTTTGGTTGTTTAAGTGTAGAGAAGAGCCCCTCCGCCCAGGACCTAACTGCTTCCTGAGTGGAGCCTTCCGCCCCTTTCGAAGCCCACAACGATCAGTTTTCCTATGCAAACCAAAAGGTTCTCGTCCATGGCTCTAAATGGACTTCGGCACTTTTTTGTCCAAATCGGAGCCCCTTGCGACCAGCCACGCAGACAGAGACCGAGAAAGAGGCAGAGGCAAAAGCAGTGGCAGACAGGCAGACACACGGACAGACAGACAGTACAGAGACACCGAAACCTGGAGACAGAGATCCAAAGACGCAGGGTTGTAGACGCCCAGGCTGAAGCGACCGGGCATGGAGTGCCGCATCGCAGGCACTCGCGGCTGAGTGGAAAGTTCTCTCTTTGTTTTGATGATCCAGCATGCATGTCGCCTGTCAAATAATGCAAAACCTGAGCATCGTCAGTTGGCAAAGGGCTGCGCAGGCAGCTCTACGGGGGTGCGTTAAGGCCCGACGAGCCATGTACACGCCAGCATGCCCGCAGCCATTTGGTCCACGGATCTGCCAGCCCCTGAGCCGCTAAGCCACCTTCCCAGCAAAGATGGGCATCGACATCGTCGCTGGCGGGCGGCAAAAGGCCACATGGGTCATGGGTCAATACCACTTCCTAAACCCCTCGTCAACCGAATTCATAAAGCCCTACCCAGGTAAATCGAACCCCCAGCAGGTGAAGAAGCGTGAGGTCAAGTCGGACAACCCATACCTGCTGCCGCCGGACTCAACTTGAGGGCGTTTTAAGCTGCGTCTTGAAGTTGCCGCATGCTTGGACGCCATTGATTGAGCAGGAGGCACGGTCGAACACATGCAGATAATTACTTTTGCTACTTTTTCCGACAAAGAAACTGGAGCCTCGGGCCGCTTCAGCGTGAGCACGGAAACATGCTCAAGCGTGAGCCCCTCAAACCTGGAATTTTTGATTTCACCGAAACCCTCGAAGCTTAGTGACTTCTGTAAACCCTCCCAGTTAAGAAGATCCGAAAGCAATGGCCAAGCATCTCAACTAGGCTCCTATGCAAGCTGTACAAGTTCCTGGCCCGCCGCACCGACTCGAAGTTCAACAAGGCGAGCAACGGGTGCCTAAACCCTAACCCTAAACCCTAAACCCTAAGAAACTTCGTATTATCTCGACGCATCTTGACGCGGCTCTGTGGTACTCGTAGCAGATATCATGGATCCGGCGCTTTGGTGCAATGTGCCTTGAGGTGTGTGGCCGGGGGCCCTATAGGTGTGAGGGGTCATATGTTCGGAGGCTTCCGGCATGCCGGACTGTTCAATCTGCAGTTTAGTCCAGTTGAGGTGTGAGCGGAGAACACAGCAAGTTGTTTTTGCTGCCGTGACTGGCACCCTAAGCCCTAAACCATCCTAAACCCCAAGCCCCGGCGACACCCTAAACCCTACTTCGAAGCCTTACCCTGCCTCGAGACAGGAGCAGCATGTCGCTGGCACTTTTTGCCCGTATTGGGCTACCAATTGTCTAAGAACCCCCAAAAATGTAAATATTCTTCATAAGGGTATTCTTAAGCAAATAGTAGTGGGTCTTATTCCCTCTGCTTGAAAGGTCATCTACAAGCGGCTGAACATGCTACTTGGCGTGCATTAGGCGTCGCTGCAGAACCATGTAGGGAAGCTCCAGGCCGATTCATGCTTCCAGAAGGTCGCATGAATTAACACTGAGGGTCTGAGGGCTGCTCTATGAAACTGATCACTCGCGGCCAGATTGCTGGATCTACTCATCTCTGGCTCCCTCTTTCCACCAGTCCTGAAATCCTGAAGCTACAGTGTGACTTTGGATGCACCACACACAGCGCGAACCGGGCGTGTGGGCTTCGCTCTGTGACCATGGGCATGAGTACCTGAAGCCGTATACACCAACACTTTGACCCACTAACCTCAGTCGGGAAGAAACTCCCTCGCCTCTTCCACTGCAGACTTCTAGCACACCAGGACTCTACCCTGTAGCAGAAGTAGAATTGTTTTTGTTCGGGTGGATGAATGTCTTCGCCACGCAGGCTATGTTAAATGCACATGTCGTTCGACCCTGCGACCCCGCAGCATGTTCATTCCCACTTCCAGTCCTCCCGGTCCGCCTTGCTAGGTCGAAACTTCAGTGCCCATGTTTTCAAGGTATGTGTAGACATGTTCTACTGTAGATCAACCGCAAAGTTGAGGTCTGGTCGGAATCGCCCTCCGCTCTCCCTCTCCAAGTTGATCAAGTTCATGGGTAGCAAGGACGACGGGCAAAAATAGTCAGAATTGCCGAGGGCCCCAGGCTGTCGTGTTTGGATCCGGGGTCTGGAATATGGGTTTTGGTGGATTTTATGGCAAGCGTACGTCTGCCCAAACTGGCAATGCTTTCGACCCAACAACTTTCTTTCCTGACAGGAGGGCAAAACTGCCGTGGTTGTTGGCACTGTGACGGACGACAAGCGGGTCTACGAGGCCAAGGGGGCACTTGTTTGAGGATAGTTGCTTGTTGATACCTGGCATGACCCAGTGGAGTCACTATAGGACAAAATACCAGCCCAGTGAGTGCAAAGGGCATTCGGCTCATGAGATGTTGCAGCTTCTGAGTTCTATTCTCAGAAGTTAAGGGTCGGTGCTTAGAACTTACCGTCCCTGCGTGCTGCAGAAGTTGCTCTCAGCTGAGAGTGTTCTTCGAGCTCCTTCCATTCCGAAAGAACATAGGCCAATCGGCGTCTGCGTCGCGAGTATGAGAGTCGAAAGCGTTCGAAAGCTTCAAATGTGTTAGGCATGAATGCCTGAATATGCACCGTCGCCACCCAAACCTTGCACCCGCGCCAAAAGGTGCCGGAGCTCAAGGTTTGCGCCCTCCGCTTCACCGCCACTGGGCCGGTATTGTGTTTGCACAAAACCGACAACCACCTAAGACCTAAGCCTTATCTACAGCCTCCAACACCCTAAGACTGAAGCGCCAATGCCAGAGCCAAGTGTGGCTAATTACAAGCGTGACTCATGCTGTTTTTTCGCCTGTTGCATTCTGTAGAGAACACAAATGCTCCAGGAGACCGCACGCGCCCGCATTCTGAAGGCTGGCGGGGCGCCTTGGCGTGGACCCAGAATTCAGCTCAGCCCTAGCATGAGACTGCCGACTAGGCAGCGGCGGCATGCAACGCAACATGCGTGTTTGCATGTAACTCGACACAATCTTGAAAGCTCGTCTGCTCACACACTGTTCAGTGAAAGCATGCATGTGCGGGTGGCCAGGCGGGCACCGCACACGTGCACGCACAGGCACCCACGCCTGCTAGCGGCGCCTGCATGTAAGGCAGGTAGGCGGGCACCGCGCGCGCCCTCGCGCGCGCAAGGGCGCCCACCCGCATATATGCGCTCCAACCTACCTATAGAGTACTTGCACGAGCACGCTCACACGAGCACACGAGGGCAACTGATAACGACATCCCAAGCTGGTTGGACAGCCTTGAGCCGCATGAATCCCAAAACCCGCTTCCCACTGAAGGAATGCCTTACCTTCGACACCCTGGCTATGCGCAGCCCGCTTGGGTAGCCCGGCTTGCCAGGGTGCAAGGTCAACCGAGGTTTAGATTTGCCATAGGGCTTCGCTCTCAGACCAGAATCTGTTCTTGTGAGAGGTTACTTGTTTGCGACTGGACAATGACCGACCCACTCCTGACTCTCGCCCTGCCTCTCCACTCCATTCCACTCCCACCCCACTATCAAACTCCCACTCCATTATGTACCTAGATCACGACACTTGGATCGCTACCTTGTGAAAGCCAGCGTCTACTTAGTCTAATTCAGGAATGGCGGAACAATTCTTATCCATGCATACGCAAGACATGCCAGCTGCCACACAAGTGTTGCGTTGGCTTCTTGTGGAGTTGCTGCTATGAAATACTGCGTCTACTTGGGGAGCGTCTACTGTTGATGTGCAATTGTGCTGCCCCACGAAGACCAGATTTTCATCGAAGTGTCTTTTTTTGTTTCGGTCTTATCAATCTGAGTTCTACTAGTGCGCCCACGAATTCCCTTGTGGTTGAGGGTAGCTTCACCTCAACCCTGCCTGTATTTGCATGAGTTGTTCAGTGTTCTGTCTTCGTTTGAAAGTTTGGGGATCTGCTTGGAAGCAGCAGCCCCAAGAGAGCGCACGGTCTTTCTCCGCAGCGACAGCCCCAGAGACATCCCAAGGCCTTTATGGCCCAAGCCGAATCAAAAGAAACCACTGGTAAGGAAGGGCACCGTCCTCCTGCGCGGCCCAGTGAAAGGGCGCGAAGCGGAGCGTCACTTCGGCAAGGCTGGGATTGTTGAGATCCTTCTGTACCACTCTCTTAGGAGCACGATATCGTAGCGTAGAAAGTCTATCAAGAAGCTGGACAAAGAGCATGTTAAAGCGAGCTTTGTGGTTCTAAGCTTTCGGGTCTTGCTTGGGATCTTGCTCGGGTCAAGTTGGAACAAGGACGCCCCTTCGTTGCCACGCACTTGACCTGGGTGAAGCCTCGAAAATAACATTCGGGTGAGACGGCACCAGGTGATACTTTGCACACATGCCCTCCCATAAGGGTCAGCTGATCGTGATCCTGAACAGAAAACCCAAGAGACGCCAGGGAGAAAAACATGCCGAAAGAGACGTGGCCCCCAAGCCCCCAAGTGCGCGCTCTGACCGAACCAGCCGTGGACATGCACTGATGATTCCTGAAAGAGCGCATGCTGAGATAGGTGTCAAGGAAGCTGCTCGCTCGCTCTTGTGTCTCTTGTCTCTCCCTGGCTCACTTTCTGAACCCTCCCTCACATGGCGAGGCACCTGGAGTGCCCAACTCCAAGACAGCTCCGTATGTCCGCTCCAAAGGCCGTGATGGAGTTCAGTGCTTCGGGCTCGAAGGGTCAAACTGGGTTCACAACGGCACTGTTGTGTTGTCTCTCAGTCCGACAGGCACAGGGCCACGGGGCATTCTCTGTGAACGTAATGGTAAGTCCAGCAGCTTCACAAGAAGGAAGACAAGCTCCATTGTCAGGCCGCAAGTTCGAGAAGTCCCGCGGCCGCAGGAAGTCCCGCGGCTTCAAGGTGTAGGAGCCCTCGGAGTCCTCGGACATGGTGCCTCCAGACAGTCAGGGGCGGCGGCGCAGAGAAAAGAGCTCCGTGTCTTCAGAAAGGTCTCCTTGACTAGTTGGCACATGTTGGCGCTACAAACATTTTAGGCGTTTGGATCGACAGCAGCCAAAACTAGCTCGACTCTTCTCCAAGCCAAGAAAAACTAACGCTTTGCGGCGGATTAGGGTTGCGCCTTGTTCTGTGCAGCGGGTTTCGACTGAGGGAGGTGCACAAAAACAAAGCGGTCTTGTTGTTTTCTGGAGCCGAAGACTGTTAAGACAGTCGCCTATGGCTTGCAATACAGAGCAATGCATGAAGCTGTTGTGTTTGGCGATAAGGGCACGGAATGTCACGGAGAAACCCCTGTTCTGAAGTCCAAAAGAGCGGTTTCTTTGACAAGCTGCGCACCCCAGAGCTTCGTCTCAACGAGGCTCTGGTATTGTCGTATAGTCAGGTTGGTTAGGACTCTTTGAGATGCAACTTTCCTTCCGCACGGGGTGAGTGAAGGGTCCCAGGATATTTAGGGGCTTGAGTTGCCCTAAACCCTAAACCCTAAACCCCATCAACCCTGCCTGCGGTTCGGCCAGCGATGCGGGAGCGAAAAAAACCCTAAACCCTAAACCCTAATCCCATGGGTTTCAGTTGCATCGGCTTGGAGTCGCTGAAGCCGACATTTTCCGGGGCCCCTCAACCGACGTCAGAAGCCCTGGAGAGGCCAGAAGCACCTCGCATCCGAGGCCCGACCTTCAAAGGGGGTTTAGGGTTTAGGGTTTAGGGTCACCAAGGCCTCTCTTCGAATGGACATGAGGCGCAATGCTCTTGTAGTCTTCCTGTTGCAACTGGATGAGAGTGGGGTATACTCATGCTTGTGAGTTCACCACCCAAAACGTGCTTCACCTCCTTGGCTCTTGGAAAAGTAGATGCTTGCCGCTACATAGACGTCGGTGATTACCAGATGACCATGCTGGGTGCTTGCTGTCTAGGGTTCTGCAGCTTTTATAGGGGCACACGACAGACCACGTTTCTAGCCCCATGCTGGCCCTCTGTTGCAATCTTGAAATTATCGGTGGCATCTGGGGCTTGGTCATTCGAGGGTCGGGGTTCAGGCAGTTCACATGTTGGTGCAGCTGCCTCTACACGGGTGAATCAGTCCTTGCTCCTGAGCTTCGCAATGGATTCAACCTGGCCCAGGATGTCAGAGGGTGATTTCTGATTTGTTCACTTACTTGTGTCGGTCATGAGAAACTCTGAGTGTGCGGACTCGGCCACGAAAGTTTGCTGGAAGAGCGAGGGGTGTTTCTCGCTTGCTTCCCAATTGAAACTAGATATAGCAACTTGCACGCCTCTAGTCAAGCCATCGGTGTGTACACACACAAGGAAGCCTTCTGATGTACAAGGGTTTGATCATGTTAAGGGCAGCTATGACGGACTTGAGCAACCGGTGGGTTGCAGTCTGACGTGCAGGGGCAGCTAGTATGAACATGAACATGATGAATCTCATCGGAATGTCCACCTTTTGGCTGCGTACTTACCTCCGCGAGGCGTCGGAAGAACATGACTCCAACATGATCGCGTCAAAGGCAGCCAGATCTAGGGGGCTGAAGAGACGGCTCTTCTTTAAGCCAAACATGTGGCGAATCTGCTTGCAGCCAAAAGACGGATTAGAAGCAAAGTGTTGCAGCTCGGGCTAAACTCCATGCGGTTTAACTCTGCTGACACACCCACATCTAATTCCTTCAAAGCCCTGTGCGTAATGAAGAGTCAGACTCCGCGCAAACCGACGGTCTAGTTGCCTCTAGAGTAGTGCTTCGGATGCGGAGGTTCAACATCTCCCTTTGCTGTTCCAGGGCTTTTTGGGCGCAGCTCACTTTGCATAGACCTGCAAACTTGCTAGCGCGGCTTGCCAGAGGCTGCCTAAATTTTGCAAGCAGAATCGCTGTACATCACTGCGCAGCAGAAGCCCATAGGCCCACATACCGAGCTTCGTTGTCTCACCTGATGCCTTGGGTTTTACCAGGCTTCGAACAATATGCAGCAGGGATGTTTTTGGATGACATGTGGTTGAAGATTGCGGCCGGTGATGCTATTCTGTTCTAGCACGCACGCCAATCCACACGTGTGTGAGTGAAGCCTTGTTCCGAGTGCAGGCGTCGTCCCAGGGATCCGGCACTTCCGACCGTTCTGGGCTCATTTTTCGTTCGAACTCTTATGTGGGGGTTTCCCCAAATAGGGGTATCTTTCTTGGGGGATCGGTTTGAGGTATTCTATTCTAGTAAAAATAAAGAAAGACCCATGTGGAGGTTGTAGTTAGGACTACTGATGCTTGACGCCCGGGGTAACACAGCTACGTCCCACTTTGGGGTTCAGAGCCAACCCCTCGTGTTGGTCAACATGGTTTCGAGACCCTGCTTGAAGAACAAGTACTCTGAAATCCGAGAATGTTCGCAACGACATCAGAACAGGAACTTCTTCAACGCCTAGGAGTTCTTCTTGTAAAGATGGGGGCCTTATTTGACATTCAACAAACAAGAGCTGTTCCCTTCTTTATCTTTGGGAATCGAGGTGAACTCCTTATTTCTTAGTACAGGTAAGAGGGCCCGGGTATTTCCTTTCATGCTGTCTCTCCACATGCCTTTCATTGTCAACCATTCCCATTTAGTTAGAAACGAAGGAAACAAGAGGGTGATCTAGATTTTCTTTGCAGTACGAGGAAGAAGCACTGTCTTCTTTTGATTCATTTGAAAGCTGTTTTTTTTGTTCTTCTTTGCTAAGAACAGAAGATATCTTTTACCCGTGGTGCGGAAGTCTCGGGCACCTTTATGTTTGCGATTGCAATGCTGGACTAGTGCTAGCAGGCGCTTGGCCAAGAAGGAGGAGCAAAGCCAATTCTACGTAGCAGTGAAGCTGATGCACGGACATTGTCCGTAAGAGAATTGCATCTTTATTTTACTTTGAAGCCGTTGATGTGCGTAGCCTGACTACCGCGTGACTACCGAAGCAATTACGACTGCATAAGACAGGAATCGCGGAAGTTGTGGCGCACCAATGGATTCTGTACTAAGAATAGACAGGGTAAGGTTTACACGTGCATCGCAAGGGTCCCACCAGCAAGTGCTAACATTTTCGACACCCGGTGGAACTTTCAAATGTATTCAGAACTCAAACTGAGGATCAAAGACGACAGGTTTGCGTAAAGGTCGAGAAGATATTTGTTTTAAGAATCTGAGTTTCCTGTTGCATGGGAGTTTTGATCCGAGGGCCAAGACGAGTGAGTCTACTGCCCGGTCAGGTCTTCGCAAATAGCACGCTCGCGGAGGGTTGCCGAAAGCTCTCTCACAAAGCTGCCCCCCCCCCCCCCCCCCGCCGGAGCTGAACTGAAGTCGTACTTTCGTTGAGCCCCTTTGCCTTGCACGTGATTCCGGGGACAGCATTTATTCGGGGTGTCTTTTCAGCTGTGAAGTTCGCAGTTGTAGGTCGGTGTATAAACCCGAGAGGTTCAAGGTCTCATGCCGACCTCGATTGAACGCAGTTCCAACTCCCAGCTCCATGCCCCGTGAAAGTTCGCTGAAAGGTGCCGATCTTGTAGACGGCAAGTGGGCGAGCGACCCAGAAGCTGCACTTCTCTGCGGGGGCTTGTTTTGCCACCTGCGAATCAAGGAGTTCCTTGCTAAAGTAGCATGCGATCGCAAGTCAGCTTGGCGATTCTGTTCTGGCGGTGCTCAGCCTGCATTTGTGCCTTCTGGGTCTAGGGTTTAGGGTTTAGGGTTTAGGGTTTAGGGTTCGTGGTTTAGGGTTGAGGGTCAATATTTGGACTGGACTGCCACGAGCAAGGCCGGCGCCCCACTCACTCGCAGCAAGCACTCGGCTCAGGGGTGCTCTGTGAGACACAGACCAAGGGGAAAGGCGGCTTCGGAGATGTTCGGGGCTTCGGACAATTACGTGAAGCAATTGCCAAGTGAGTTCTTTCGTGCTTTGGGCCTCAAGCCGCACGATGTGATGTGAGAGAGAGGGGGTGGGCTGTGAAATGGATACTGGGGCTTGTTTTCTATTTTGTTCTGGTATGTTCAGGTTCAACTGTCGCTTCGTGTCTTGAGGGCTTTGCAAGTTTAACTGGGACTGGAGTGCCTAGGTACAGCAGACAAGGAAGCTTGAAGCTGTCTCTTGGGGTCTGCTCCTCAGTTCTCGGCTAGGCCAGACATTGTCCCAAAACTTCCCAAAATGGTGCAGCTGTGCAGGTCGAGGGTCACTTTGTTTCTGGAGGGGGTGGGGGTTGGGAGTTTACAGATGTGTACAGATGATTGTAAGGGGGATGGGTGCGGCTCCGGTGTAAGGATCGATTAGGGCCCTACGGACTTTGCAACCTGCTTGCTGAATCCGAGCACCTGGAACTTCAAAAGGAGAAATGTAGGTTCCGAGTCCAATGTCATCCTTGCGCCTTGCGCTTGACGCGACCTCAGATATTGCCTTTGAGTGAGTGGACACTCAAGCCTCCAAAGAATAGCTAAGCAGAGCAGCTCTCCTAGAGGAATCTGTTCCCTTACCTTGTATTGCATGGCGCGCACCAAGTCACTTCGACTAAGTTCGCAATTTGTCATGACCCCTGAGCCACTTTAGGCGAAACAATCTCCGGTGGCACCCTCCAACTCGATAGAGCCAGCCTGTGGCTCAGAGCCGCATTCCTTCGAGCTCTCCGCTGACTGAGACAGAGAGAGACACACAGCGAGAGAGAGCCCTAAACCCTAAACCCTAAACCCTAAACCCTAAACCCTAAACCCTAAACCCGTAGCCATTTTGGCTCAAGCAGCGCCAGCTCTCAGTCGGTATCGCGTGACCCTGTGTACCAGAATCGTCTGCTAGCTATGTCACCGCTCCAAGTGGTACTTAGCTATTTCACAAGGCCCAAGCGATTGCTGTGCAGTGTAGAGCCCCCACTTTTCTAGGTACACTGCCAGATGGGCAAAATGCCGTCGAGCGATGGA